CCCCCCCCCCCCCCCCCCCCGCCCCCCCCCCCCCCCCCCCCCAGCATTTTCTTTCCTCTATCACTCAGCCATCTTTTCCACGAGCTCTCTTGGCCTCCTCTTCTCTCTCTCTCCTGACCCCTCATCCCCCACTTCTTCCCTCATGGCTCAGTCTCTAGTCCTCTGGCCACGTGCAGGCTGGACTCTTCCAGATGCCTTTGACTAAGCTCTCCCACATATCTACAATAAAGCTGCTCTTCTCCTCAACCATACTCATGCCCTCATTTTCATTCCGTTTTGACTCAAAGGGTCTGGAGTGAGGCTCCCAGAGCTGCTGCTGCTTATACAGTGCACACGCCATAGCAAAGCTTCGGGGATATGGGTCAGCTTTCACTCAATTCCAGGGCATGCAATCCCCATCCCTGTTGGCCAGATCAAAGGCAAAACCCGTGTGAAAAACTTATGCAGACTTCCCAGGCACTCCTGACAGTGCCACTGAATTGTTTGCTCAGCTCCTCTCTACAAAAAGTATAAAAGAGGCAGGAAAGGAGCCCTGGAAATAGAAGATGATTAAAAAAAAAAAGCCAAAATATGTAAACTATATTTCTTGGCCAAAAGAATTCTGGGCAAAGAGGTCAGTTGACGGTGGCAAGAAAAACCTGGTTGGCAGAACAGAACCTTTAATAGTGCTGGGCTGACCTGGACAGGCTTGAGCTCCCAAGCAGGGAGGTGAGGCCTGGCCTAGAACAAGAGAATGTGCCAAGTCACGCTGCGTTTGCAGGTCCTGCCCAAGCCCATTCACAGGCAAAAGGCTGGGCAGGGCTGGGTGGAGAAAACTTGACAAGAGGAAGGAATGAAAAGTCTCAGGGGTAGATGCCAAATACCTTTCATCTGGATGTGCTTCCTGATTTTGTCTCAGCAGTTGTTTAAGTCACTTAATAACAAATACAAAAGCTTTCCTGATCCAGAGGGGCATCCTGTGAGTCCCACCCCAACCTTCCGACACTGGAAATAATCTTGAGACAGGGGTGATGTTGCAGATGCTGGTGACTAAGAAAGTGTTTGAGGAGCGCATAAGAAAGTGTTTGGGTAGTGCAACAGTTAATTTTAATTGCCAACCTGATGAAACCTAGGATCAGCTGGGAAGAGAGTCTCAATGAGGGATTATCTGCATTGGTTTGAAGGAGTGTTAGTTGACAAGGAAGACCCAGTCCACCGTGGGCAGCACCACCCCCTAGGCAATGGTCCTGAACTGGTTAAGAGGAGAGAAATCAGGTTGAGCGTGCGCGCCAAGCAAGCAAGCACTCTTTCTACTGCTGACTGTGGACATGACGCTACTAGTTGTTTCAAGCTCTTGCCTATTTGTAACCTGGAATTGGCAGCTCAAATATATCCTTTCTACCCTAGGTTGCCTTTGTTAGGCTATTTCAGTTTGTTTCAGCAAGCGGAGGTGAGGACCCACATCCAAAACTGTTCTCAGATCCATACGACCTCTGCAGCACATGCATTCCTGCACACACGCACTGTACACGCATCCCAGGGGCACACACAGTCGAATGCTCTTGAGGCCTAGGCCCCTGATATGTCTGGAACGCAAGGAAACAAGCAATGGGGCTGGGGCCGCTTAAGTCAGGTGAAAGGTGCCCAGGAGCATCCTGGCCCTTCCCAGCTAGAACACGGTCAGGAGTGGAGATGGTCTCTGCCTGAGTGTACGCAGCCCTGGGGCTCTTCTACACGCCAGTCCCAGGCATCCCACTCCATCCACCCAGGACACATGACGTTTTTGTGGCCTCCTTCCTGGAGAGCTCACTGTCTGACAGGCCAATCGTAACTCAGGTGCAGCAGGATGGGGTGTTGGTACGGGAAGGGAATTCTGCAGCCTTCCTCCAATACAGAATCCTAGAGGTGGTAAATGAACGGCACCAAGAGACCAAATGTCCCCTCCTAAGGACTGAGCTGCTGAGTCTTTGTAAAACGGAAGAAGCCAGTGTTGCCTTCCTGGAGAAGCCACACGTCCAGGATACTCACCCACGATGAGTCCCACCTCACAAGTGGGTTCCTCATAGGCACAGGTCATCATGGTACCCACAGTGTCGTTGACCACAGCCACCACATCCAGGTCAAATTCCTTTGAAAAGAAAGGGGCATGGGTCCAGGGAAGGGCCAGCTTGGCCTGGCTTGAATCCTACTAGTTCATGCTCGGGTCTGGATGCTGCTGGAAAGCCGGGGTTGGTTTTCTCACTGTGTTCTGTACTCTGACACAGAATGGCAAAACCTATAGGGCCAGGGATGCTGGATGTTCGCATTCTGAGAAGCCTGGCAGTGAGTGGCTGTGTGAGCAGTTAGGAACTGCTTCCCTCGTCCCATCCCTATGAGTAATGATGTTCTTTGAGCTTATCATCCTTTTCACATTTGTGTGTGTGTGTGCACATTCGTACATCACAGCACATGAGTAAGGGTCAAAGAATAAACCACAGAAGATGATTCTGTCCGTCCTTGATGTGGGTTCTAACCAAACTCAGGCCATCAGGCTTGGTGGCAGGCTGCAGAGCCATCTCACCAGCCGAACATCACCCCTTAACGACGCAGAACTGGCAAGCGTCGAGCTAAGGCCACCAGTAACACTGGGGAACACTTCCATCACCCCAAATCCCATGCTTCTGTAGTGTTCCAATTCTTCACAAAAAAGCAAGCCTAATTTTTGTGAATCGCACCCCAAAAGGCAAAAAAACAAAAAACTTGAGTTACATCTCTTCTTTTCACCGCCTCCTTCAGTAAGGTGGCTACATCATGTCCCTCGCAGTCACTGGCCTTGAAACCCTTTGTCCACGAGATCAAGATTCCCTAAAACAAGAAAGGTACAGAAAGAGCTTGGGTGAATAAGCTAGTCAGGAGAATTTGATACTCTCCCTGAAGGGGGCTGTATAGCCAGCCCAGGCCCGGGGAGCATGGCTCTGGCAGGCCTTGCCTTTTTCCCCATTCCCTCTGCCTTGCTAAAACTGTTAGATTATATTCCTAAAGCTGGCCACCAATGTCTATTCTCTTACATGGCCACTTCCTCCTCCTGAGGCTGACTATTGAGGTCCAGGCATCAAAGTATTGGAGTCCAGCAATCAAACGCCCCTTTTGGTTCACCTAATGAACATGCCCAATCAAAACATAGCACCAAGTCCTAGCCCATTCTGATACAGGCCTCCCCCCTTTCTCTTCTTAAATATTACACTTGCAAGGTCATTGGCTGCAGTTTTTCTGTCTGAGTCAGAAAGCAGCCACTTTAACTTGTCTTCCCCTCTGTGAAAGAAAACAGGTGTGTGGGTGTGGCATGTGCCTAATCCTGAAAGGGAAGCTTCCACTGTGTGTGGGGTGGGACTGGGGGTTGGTGTCGCCTTCCCTATGGACCGCCCCCCCCCACCTTCACAGATACCTGCTTTCTAATCCCACTTCACAGATGGAAAAATCAGGGCACATAAGGTTGGTTGCTAACTGTTACTGAAGGAATGCAAGACTGTGGCAACACTAGTTATCTGCTGCTGGGGGAAAGAGCCACATGCGTGTGCATGCTCATGTGTGATTTCCTCCATTTGACATTGCTCATCTCAAGTTATTTATTCCCAGTGTTTTCATGGCTTTAGTTAACCTCCTTAGGTTGGAGTTTTCCTGATAACATCACCTTCCTTAGCTCTCTCAGTGCTGCCAATCAGGCCTTAAACCATCACCTCAGGCTCCTCCCTGGCCATGTCTCCACTTGGGCCTGCCAGTCAGGCTGAATCCGCCCCCAGTGTCGGCATAATCTTTTCCCTCTACACACAAGAGGCCTGCCCGCCCCTGACCCTTCTTGCACAGTGGCTGAGCGCTGGCACATGGGTTGGCATAGGAGATTCCTAAGGACAGAAATTGTAACTGGATGAAAAAAATAAAGTAAGGAAGAGGACATGACTACTTCTGAAGTATGGAGAGGACTTTTATTGTAGAATAAGGGAGAAAGAAGGCAAGAAGGAAGAGTCCAGGCTGAACATGGCCCAGCAGACTAAAGAGGACCATGAGAGGAGGAAAGGAGAGGGAAAGCAAGAGAGAAGTCACCAACTAAAAGAGGAGCCTGCCATAGCCAAAATGGCTGAGTTATATAGGGTTCAGGTATGGGAAAGGGAAGGGAAACCCAGGCTCTGAGATGGGCCAGTTTAGGGTAAGGGGTGGGATGAGGAAAGCTGGAAGGAGCCACATGAACTGCGTGTGACTTGTCCTGGAGTTGGGACCTAACAGTAACCCTTCCATCTGTACCCATGCCTTAGTTGCTAATGGCTCTCTCCAACAGAGCACTGGGCCAGAGCCTATGGGCATCTTGTTCCCTGCCATCCAACCAGCCAAGAAGAAAGCCACCGAGGGCTGAGGATGTAGCTAGTTGGTAGTGCTCTTGCCTAGCATGTGCAAAGCTCTGGGTCCCACCACAGCACACAAAAACACAGTGTGGTCACATGTGCCTTCAATGCCAGCATCTATGAGGTGGGGACAGTGGCAGCAAAAGGTCGTGGCTATTTGGCTACAGAGCCAGCGTGGGATAAAACAGTAGGGATAAAAAGAGAAGTGGGGCTGGGGGAGGAAGGAACGAGGTCCTGAGCTACTAAGAGGCGTGAGAAGGTCACTCTGTGTCTGGAGACCACAAGCGTTCCCAGAAGTCACTGTTTCCTGAGACAGGGTTTCTCGGTGTAGCCCTGGCTGTCCTGAAGCTCATTCTATAGAGCAGGCTGGGCTCAAACTCAGAGATCTGCCTGCCTCTGCCTAGGATCAAAAGTGTGTGCCATGGTCACCACTGTCACCACCATTAACACCACCACCACCACCACATGGTGAGATGGCTCCTTTTAACAATGACAGATGTTCCAGAGGGGGTGACCCATAAGATGTGTAAGATTGTCCCAGACACCTAAGGATAGCACCGAGGTTGGAGAAAGCCCTAGCCACATGAAGTCAGCAAGCCAGAGCTCTGCTGTCCACAGGAAAGACACTCACACAATCCAGGCTCGTCTGATTGCAGGGAAATGAGAAGGTGAAGCCCAGAGGCATCCGGGGGCCTTTGATCCCCATGTAGTCCAGGAAGTCGGAGATACAGGAGACGATGTGGTCAAACAACTTTTAAGAGAGAGAGAGAGAAAAAAAAAAAAAAAAAAAAAAAAGGATTGTCTCGGCTCTCTGTGGTTTCACACTTTAAGCATGCACACGCACGCACACACCCTTTCTTTGGGAACTTCCCAGCCATTAGAGTATCATGGGCAAGGCTGGCTCAAAGGACTGATGCTTTAGGGACACAGGGTCACAGCTACAGTGTCACAGGGCAGAAATGGCTCATCTCATAAATGCCAATGCCATTGGCCAGGTGTGTGGTGTACCTGACACACGGGGCCCACCTTACCTCTTCCCCAGTGCCTTGCATGATCTCTATAGGAATGGAGTAGATCTTGTTGTGCATTTCTACTGTTCTCTTTTTTCCACTACGGACCTTTACCAGTAGGACCCGGAAATTCGTTCCTCCAAGATCCAAAGCCAAGAAGTCACCATTCTCTGTCACAGGAAGAACACAGAGAAAGCCACAAATGGCAGAGTGCATCTTGATTCGCCAGAAGCACACAAATACCGAGGCTGGCTTCCCAGCCCACCTCCAGCAGAGACCGGCGAAGGCTGGATCGCCCAGCGGACCCACTGAGTAGTGGGCAATAGAGAATGGTAGCAGATTTATGCTACTAGATTTCTGAGTGGTTTATAATAAAGCCATATTATAAACTTTATAAGAAAGTTTTATCTTATACGCAAGTTGTGTGTTATTTGGGTCCCTGTAAGATGTGTTTTCTATCCCAGACAGTCATTATTCTGAGGATCCACCCAAGAACCTCTTCAGTATTGCCATAGAACTAGCCTCAGCAAGGGAGAGGATGTGCTCCTACCTGCCCAGGTGTGCAATGCCCCAGGGCCTGTCACCCTCACACATTCCCTGCCACAATATAAAGATGAGGACCGTGTGAATTCTCCTGTTGGACTGTCTCAGGCAGCCCAGGGGGGGCCTCAAACTCTCAGTGTAGCTGAGGTTGGCCTCAGACCCCAGAGCCTCCTGAGTACTCACAGGTGTGTGCTACTCTACCCAGCTTCCCATTTTCCAAAGAGTCTAGAAGGTCCCACTAGAAAAAATGAGCTGCTCTAAGCCTGAAACATAGACACACGCACACAGACACAGACAAGCACATGAACGCATGTGTGTGTGCGCGCCTGGCCAAAGCCACAGCATCCTTGGGAGAGTTCACCATGTCCTCTACCCATCCCCATCCCTTCTGTCCCTTCTTGGGACAGAGATGTGAAAGCCCCAGTGGGCCCTCACCAGTCCCGTCTGGGATGCTCCGGACGAAGGAAGGCAGCATCTTGACGGTAGCCTTAGAGTTCGTCTCCTTCTTCAGCCCAAATTCCATCTCAGCCCGCAGCCTCCTCTTCACCTCCAGCAGTGTCTCCTTGCTGAGGCGGAAGTTGGACAGGGTCTCCTCAATCTGCCTGTGCTGCTCAGCCAGGCGGTAGGCTACAGCGGTCACCATGGCAGCCCCCTTGCCGCTGCCGCTCTCTGAAAGGAGGAAACGCACATCGGAGTCGGGCACCAGGCGCCTCAGGGTCTTGTGGAATCGCCGGGAATACCTGAGGGAGAAGGTGGAAGTGGGTGTGCTGGACCAAGCTACCAGCTGGGGATATATGATCACTCTCCAGTCGGCATGCTTTAGTTCCAGCCTCTACTACTGTCCTTTCCTTGCACATCCTCTATGCACCCGCCATGGAAGAGCATAAGACACACACAAGGAAAAGAAAATTATCCACAACTGCCAGTAACAACAAAAACGGGGGGATATCCCATTATTTTATGAGTATTACTTTCCAAAAAAAATTTTTTTTGAGGGCCAAAACCATCTTGTGTAAAGCAGGACTGCTGCTAGCTCCATACCAACCTGAGCTACAGAGTCCGTTCCAGGCCAGCTGAGGCTATATATAGCAAGACTTTGCTTCAAATGAGTGAAACGCGGGGTGGGGGATGTTCCTGTCCTTAGCTCTATTACAGTGCACGGGAGCCAAAGGCAAGTGCTTCCAAGCCAGGTCCAAGAACAAGGGTGACTGACAAGTGACCTTCACCCAATATTGACCTTGAACTCAATGGAGACAGGTGTCTAGCTGACGGTGGCGTGCTGGGAAATGAATGGTTTAGTGAGGAGCTGGCATTAGGAATTAGCACTGAGAGAAGGCTCAATAACCCCTCTTGTTTGTTGTTTTTTTTTTTTCTTTTGTTTTTCATTTGGCTCTTCCCTTCCTTCCTAGAAGAACAGCTTAGGCCGAGTGAGACACAGAACTTGTGGTCTGCCGTATGGAAGGCCACATGCCAAAGCAAACAGGAAAAGCCGTTTTCCCAAAATACCAGCAGCAGCCATTGCCTCCAAGGCATAGGTTAAGAATGACCTTTGTTCTTTCTGAAACTCTTGTAAATGGCGTCGAGTTTCTAGTAACTCTGAAATGAAAAAACACCTGTTTATCCATGTGCTCCTGAATAGGTACACATATGCAGGTACTCATGAGCACATGAGCGGAGGCCAGGGGTTAACCTTGGGGGTCTGCCTTAACGGCTTCCCACCTTTTTAAAGACCAGGTCTCTCATGAATGTACGGCTCACCAACAGGCTAGCCTGGCTGGCCAGTGGGACCAAGGACCCTCCCATCTCTACCCTCCCCTAGGACGTGCCTTGTTGCCCCTGGCGTGGGTTCTGGGGAAGTGAATCACATGTTCAAACTTGTGTAACATGCACTTTCCTCAGTGAGTCATCACACAGGTCAAAGTTTAAAATATGAAGGTGGTGAGGGCTGGAGAGATGGCTCAGCAGTTAAAAAAAAACACTGGCTGCTCTTCCGGACGACCCGAGTTCAATTTCCAGTACCCACACAGCTGCTCAAAACTGCCTGGAACTCCAGTTCCAGGGGATCCAACAGACACACATGTAGACAAAACACTAATGTTCATAAGATAAAGATAAATTATTTTTTAAACTGTGCAGGTGCAAACAGGAGTTTTGAATATGGCTTCTGTACAGCATGGAAACCCAGCACCGCCTCCACAGCGGGCTGCACAGCACGGGATGCCCCAGCGCCACCAGACTGTACGCAGAAGACTAGCTATGGTGACAGAGCTTGTATGGTATGTATTTTACTGCCTAGACACATTCTGTTTCGTTTTGTTTTTTTAAACAGGGTCTCACTATGTAGACCAGGCTGGCCTCAAAACTCACAAGGTCTGCCTCTGCCTTCCACATGCTGGGATTAAATGAGGGGGCGCCAATGCTCATCCCTAACAAAGCTTTAATGTGACATTAAAAATCCTTAGGCTTTCTTGTCAAAAAAAAAAAAAAAAAAAAAAAAAAAAAATAGCCAGGAATTCCACAGAAACAGCCACACAGACCCGTAGTCCCAGCTATTCAACAGCTGAGGCAAAAGGATTACTTGATGCTTACGAGAACAGGAACCATTTGGCTAACATAATGAGATCCCAATTCTTAAGGGGCACAAGGATAAAGAAAGGAACGCTTAATTTTTCTCTTTCAAATAGCCTTAAAATATGAAAAATAACAAAGTAACAAAACTGCGAACTTGGAAGACAGCATCACCTGGCCAGCCTGACACTAGCCCCTCAGCACCCCAGAAGTACCGCAGTGGAAACCAGCATCTGTGCAAACGCAGGCTGAGACTCTGCAAGCGTGAGATGCAGATGCATGAACTTAGGTCCTGCCCTCACACAAACCACCAAGCCATGGTTAGAGATTGTTAAACCTCAATGACGACTTAGTTCCAGTCCTTTAAAAAGTTTTGGCTACAATTTCAACTGCCACCGAGACGTTTGACACTCAGATGAGCCAGCCTCTCCTGGTCTGTAGAGATTATTTTTAACTCCTCTTATCTCTGGCTCTCAGACAGCAAGAGCAGACATGTGCCCATTTAAAGCAGCAGTGTCTGAGGGGCTGATGGATTTTATCGAAAGCCTCTGAAACAAGAACATGCATGCCACCAGGCATGGCAGCACATGCCTATAATCCTGGCATTCTGGAGGCAGAGGCCAGAAGATCAGAAGTTCGAGGTCAGCCTCTGCTACACAGCAAGTTTGAGACCAGCCTGGGCTACAGGAGACACTGTCTCAAAACAACACCACCACCAAAACAACACACAAAACAAGCAAAAAAAAAAACAAATGCAGCCACCACGCTACACCTAACACCAAGTTTCCTTCTAATGGGGATGAAGTCCTTCCGGATAAAGTGCAGCCTGGCTGCAGACACAGTAAACCTCACAGTCCTGCCTGGAGAAGCTTTTGTCTCACCTTGAGAAATGAGAGACCAAAGTGGACTGCATGGCACTGCGTAAGAAGACACTTACGCAGTGTCTTCTTACGACACTGCGTAAGAAGTGTCGTTTGAAACGCCTCGTTTGGCGAGGCGTCCCAAACGAGCAACTCTTGCCTGGCACTACCTTACCTTCCCAAACCATGATCTGGGTGCACAAGCCTGCCCTCTGGAGAAGGGCCTCGGTCTCAGGTCCGGGAACGTGCAAATACAACATAGGGTGGACTCACTGTGGGTGTGACTTGTAGAGAGAACCGTCCACACCAACTGTGGTTCGCAGCCTGGGCGTGCTCTTGTTGTCTCGCAGGCGGTTCAGGATGGCACCGAGCGTGGCAGCCACTAGGTTGGCTGAACGGAAGGAGACAATGGTGCACACGTGCTGGACCGACACACAGTCATCATCAGACGGCTCCACTCCCAGGCGGGTTAAGATCTCCTTGGCATTATGAATACCTTCCTTATTCCTGCGAGGTGAGAGGTCAATATTTAAGAATTCAGGAGCCTATCACAGAGGGCCTCTGAAAGACTCTGCCCTGCAGACTATCAATGCAGATGCTGAGGCTCATAGCCAAACTTTGGGCATGGTGCAGGGAATCTCATGAAAGCAGGGGGAAATAGAAAGACCTGGAGGGGACAAGAGCTCCACAAGGAGAGCAACAGAACCAAAAACTCTGGGCACAGGGGTCTTTTCTGAGACTGATACTCCAACCAAGGACCATGCATGGAGATAACCTAGAACCCCTGCACAGATGTAGCCCATGGCAGTTCAGCGTCCAAGTGGGTGTCCTAGTAAGGAGAACAGGGGCTGTCTCTGACATGAACTCAGTGGCTGGCTCTTTAATCACCTCCACCTGAGGGAGGAGCAGCCTTACCAGTCCACAGAGGAAGACAACGCAGCCACTCCTGATGACACCTGATAGGCTAGGGTCAGATGGAAGGGGAGGAGGACCTCACCTATCATTGGACTGGGGGAGGGGCATAGGAGAAGAAAAGGGAGGGAAGAGGGGGGAGGGGGGCTACAGCTGGGATACAAAGTGAATAAACTGTAATTAATAAAAATAAAATAAAAAATAATTTTACAAAATCAGGGGTCAAGCCAGGCTGTGGATAGCACCAGAGTTAGGAGGCAAAGTGGGGGAAGGCAGAGCCCAGCACACAGCCTGGCATGGGAGTAGCACCATGAAATGCCTGAGGTGGGTGCTCTCGCATAAAAGATATATGGTGGAAACACTACCAGGCTAGGTATACCATGCCAGGCCTCGGAAAGGGAAGATCGCATACATGTCCTGAGGAGAAAGAGCTGTTTCTACCTGAACCTCCTCTCACGGAGGGTCTGAGTTGCTTAGCCATAATGTCCTGGTGTTTTCTGAAAAATTCCAATTTTCTGTATGTATGTTCTGTGTATCTTTTGTTGGCTTCACTCAAAGGGACGGTGCAGTTCTGTTGCTATTATACATCGTTAGTTTAAAAAAATCTCTCTCTTTCTCTGTTTCATTGTGTGTGTGTCTGGCTCTGCCTCTCTGTCTCTCTCTCTGTCTCTCTTTCATTACTGTTATGGTTCTCAATAACCAAAGACCCAGTGGCATAAATGGGCCAAGAAGAAGGCAGACATCTAAAGTTAAGTTAAGGCACACACATGGAATCTCAGTACTGGGCCTGACGGAGAATGACCCCATGACCAACTCCCAACACATGGCTTAGGCAGAGAATAAGTCCAGAAAAGCTCTCCACTCCCAGCAGCCTCTTTCTCTACAGGAAAGTTGTGCAAAGCTCCACCGGCCTGGTGTGAAGCTCCAGGACTGCTGAGAGTGCACTGCAGGTAACTCATGTGGGGTAGACGGAACACAGCCAAGCTGCCTCAGGTGCCTGCGGATGGCCTTCCATGGCTACATGAAGCCTCCAGAACCAGGACTAGAACCCAGTGGAACACAGAAGCCATGCACAACACAGAGCTCTGTTAGTTAGGTCTGGTCCTGGACTGCAGCACAGTGTGTGCCTCAGGCTGAAGGCCTGAGGTGGGGGCTCCTGGGCGGGCAGGATGTTGCTGGGTTTCATCCTTCCATGTCTATTAACCAGTGTTTCTCAAACTGGGATTTCAGGGAATATGGCTGGCCACAGGCCTTCTGTAAGAACATGTGGAAGCAGGGAGAGGGTCTGGGCTCAAAGGAAGTGGGCTAATCACAGTGATCAAGTTTCCCAGGTATTCTAATTAATGAATACTATACACTAGGATTTCCCACAGAACCATCCAGTCATTGGCTGGACAGCTCTGAGCTCCCTAGAGCAAAGTCTGGGAAAGGTACGCCATGAGGTAATGCCAAGAATCCAGGCCCAGGTTTGGTCAGTCCTGTGCTCAACGCTGAATCATCTGCTTTCTTGACCCAAATCTTAATGGGGTAGTATGCGTGCATGGGTGTGTGTGGATGTGTATGTATGTGGTGTGCTTATGTGTGGATACGTGTAGTGTGTGTGATTTGTATTGTAGGAGGTATAGGTAGTGTGTATGTGTCTGTGTGTGCTGTAAGAGGGTACTGCTTTTGAAACTACGCAAGAAAATCATCCATAAAACACTTGGGCTAAGTTTTCTTTTTAAGATTTGTTTATTTATGTTTATGAGTGTTTTGTATGCATGTATGTCTGTGTACCACATGCATGCCTGGTGCCTTCAGAGACCAGAAGAGGGTGTTGGTCGCCTGAAAATAGTGATACGTGATTGTGAGATGCTGTGTGGGTGCTGGGGACTGAACCTGCTGGGCCACCTCTCTAGCCCTCTAGGCTGCTCCTAATGATAACAGAAAGGTCATGTGGGAAGACCAGCTGGAGTGGTCACCTGGGGCTGAGGGGAAACGGGCCTGGTAGCTGGCGAGAGGTGGCAGGGCCCTGGATGGTACGTACTTTTCAATGGCGGACACGTCACTCGTGTTAAACTTGCCCCTCGTGAGCAGCTCTGGAGTGATGCGCCCTTCAAACAGGAGGCCTTCCTTGGCCATCTTCACCAGGATCAGCCGGACCAGCTCCCCCATGTACATGCCGCTCACCATCTTCTCGAACCTGCAAGAGGGAATTCCACAGGTAGTTAAGTTCCCTCTCCGGGTCAGCACTCAAGGAGGGGGCCGCAGAAAAGAAGAGGCGGCCCCGCCTGTGTCTCTCAGGTTCCCTCGTGTGACTCAACAAGGAGGAGGCACAGATACTTATTATAGACAGGGAGGCCACCTAGGAGGACACTGCAGGACAGGGACAGTCTCGGAAGGCTGCTTGGCGGTAGGGAGATACTAGGATTTAGATTAGGGGTGACAAGTGAGAAGGGCCCCACACAAACAAAATGATTGGTTTTTACACAGCTGAATGATCAACTTTTCACAGGACTGTCAGTAAATCAGAGCCATCAGGGATGGAGGGAGCCAGGGGACACCCAGCTTATAAGAGGGAAAATGTCATCTTCTGGAAGGTGGGGAGAGCTGTTCTCCGTGAGGAAGGAGGCTATTTGTGCATTTGGCCTTTGGATAAGATAGAATTTTTAAACTTTTAGTTATGTGTGTGTTATCTGTGTGCTAGCGTTTAGGTGCCCACAGGAAATGGTTGTGCCCAACACAGGTCCTCTGTGCCCTTGTTGATCACAGCCTTGGTGATTGATGGTGGTGAGGAAGACACGGATCATGAAAATGGAGATGACAGGTGTCGGGACTGAACTATGGACCCCAGTGCATGGCTGCCTGGAAGCTTCCCAATAGCATGGAGAGCTGAGGCTCACTCCACCGCAAAGCTGGAGCTCCCAGAAGTCAATTCACCTGTTCATGGAAGAACAACAGCGTATCTAGGTTTGGATCCCGTCCCTTTAGCTCTGGGGCCCTAAACCTTAACCTTTGGGACACAGGAGCTGGTTAGTAGCTCAGGGCTAACAGGATCAACTTGGGTCTCTATCTCTGATGATTTTTTTTTTGTGTGTGTGTGTGTGTGTGTGTGTGTGTGTGACTTCTTCTTTCCCTGCTTCTTCTTTCTCCTCCTCCTTCTTTGACAAATTCTCACAAAGCCAGGCTGGTCTTAAATTTGATACATAGCAGGGATGGATGACCTGTCTCCACTTCCGGAGAGCTGGGATTATAGGTGTGTGCCATGAGGTCTGGCTTATTACTTTACACTGGGGGCTATGTGCTGGACAAACACTGTTCCAGCTCTACCATATCCACAGACCACCATCTCATCCTTTGCCAGCAAACTACCAAGGCTTTGCTCTTTTGAGGAGTGTATACTCCTTCCCCACTAACTCCAGGGGGTGGGCTTTGAGGAGCTGAAGGCTCATCCCACTGCTCTGGCCAAATTCTGGAATGGGCCAATGCCACATTGAATGTGATGTGAGGTGTGACTTCATATCTGAAGCTACCTCTCAGGGTCCAAGTACCATTTTCTGTCCATTCAAGCAGAAAATTCAGCCCAGGGGCTCCGGGCACTTAATATTGTACTTGAGTCAAGATTCAGACCCAAGATCAGGGACCAGGAAAGACAGACAGGTTTAAAGAACCCTTAAACCAGACAGATCAGAGGCCTCCTCTTAAGTGTGGCTGGCCGGTTGGCACTCCCAGAGCTGGCAGTGACACAGCAAAACAATGTGTTCCAGGGAGAGTCCCCCAGCAGCCAAAGATGCTACGGGGGCCCCTGAGGTCAGGCCAGCCCTGACCCTGTCGGCACAGCACACAGCCTCCTTCCAAACACAGTCTTCATTGTTCCTGTTCTTGAGAGACGCAGGCTGGCCCATCCAGCTCCAGAGAATGGATACTCCCTGGCAGGAAAACACCATCTGTGGCCTGGCTGTTCTGCTACTGCCCAGGCTCCTGTGGGAAGAGCCCTAGGCTGGAATCCCTGAGCTGGCAGAAAGCAGGCAAAGCCTGACTACCAGGCTCCCATTAATTCTGCTGCCACTGCACCCATGCAAGCCTCAGTCTCCTCATCCGTAGGACAAGGCCTTCCTGCAAGGTTCTACAGAGGACACGTGTTCATACAGAACATGGCCATGAAATCTGGCTCCTGAGAGCTGAGGACCTTACCTCTATCTGGCACTTCCTAAGAGGTTTATTTATGCATTTGAAATGGGGCCTCACATAGCCTAGGCTGTCCTTGAACATGCTATATAGCTCACGATGACCTTGAACTTCTGTCCCTCTTCCAACTACTGAGAATGGGAATACAGTATTAATGTATCATTGTACCCAGTTGTTCACGACAACAAGCGCTCTACCAACTGAAGTACAAACTGTAAAGTGATTAAACACAGACTGTTATTTAATGTTTTTAATGATTCTATTACTTTACACGTATCGGTGTTCTGCCTGTGTATCTGTGTACCATGTGTGTGCTCGGTGCCTGTGGAGGTCAGAAAATGGAGTCAGATCCCCCTGGAACTGAAGTTAAAGATGGTTGTGAGCTGCAGTATGGATGCTGGGAATTGAAACCACATCCTCTGGAAAAACAGTCAGGGCTCTTAACCACATGGCCATTTTTTCCAGTCCTATTTTTTTTTTTTAAATTATTATTATTAAGCTGGGCATGGTGGCACATGCCTTTAATCCCAGCACTCAGGGAGTCAGAGGCAGGCAGATCTCTGTGAGTGTAAGGCCAGCCTGGTCTACAGAGTGAGTCCTGGACAGCCAGGGCTACACAGAGGAACCCTGTCTCAAAAAATAAAAAATTATTAGTGTGTGTTTGTATGTATGTGCATGTGTGTATGTGTTTATGGGCACGCATGCCATGACACACGTGGATGCCAGAGAACAACTTTGCAGTCTTGGTTCTCTCCTGCTACCTTTACACACGTTCCAGGGATCAAACTCAAGTTGCTAGGCTCATGAACTCAGCACCTTTACCCACTAGCCCACCTTGCCTTTAAAAGCCTGAACTCCACAGCTGTGTATCTAACCAAGCAAGAAGCATAGTCCAGTCACGCAAATCTGAAGTAGGGGCAGCCTGGTGGTGCATGCCTGTCACCTCAGCTACTTAGGAGGCTGAGACTAGAGGATTGTGAGTTCAAACCCAACTCAGGCCACTTAGTGAGGCTCGGTTTCAAGGCTCGGTTTCAAAATAAAGGCATTTTAAAGGGTGAAGATGTAGTTCAGAGTAATTGCCTAGCATGCCTGAGGCCCTGCGGTCCATGCCTAGTGTGACAAAAAAAAAAAAAAAAAAAAAATCGATGGGTGACACTCACAGCTGCTTCCCGGGGTTGAGGGACCCCCGGTCCAGCTCTCTGTCGAACTCTGTGCGGATGTCCTCCAGGGACCCGTCGTCCCCGAAGGCCCCCCACTCGGTGTTGATGCACATCCGGCCCTCGTCACCTTCCACCAGGTCAATGTGTCTCAGCTCCTCCATGTAGCACGCGTTGGTGCCCGTGCCTGGGGGAGACAGGGGAAGCTGTGATCACACGAGGGAGGTGAGGGCATGCTGAGCGAGGGATGGAGTGCAAAGGGCACCCTACCGATGATCAGGCCAACTTCACACTGCTGGTCGTCGTAACCGCAGGTCATCATGGTCCCCACCGTGTCATTCACCACAGCGACGATGTTGGCGTCGTAGTCCTGGAGGCCGATAATGAAGACAGGGTCACCATCAGCTCCCACATGGGTGTGAAAATCCCAACCTCAGAGGCAGCTCGGCGCACTCTGATTCTCACAAGCCACCATGCTGGTGGGTGGTTCTGCCTCTGCACAGCCAGGACTCAATTAACTGGATTAAAGAGCTGTGATTACCTTATGGAAACTGCAAGGTCCTCTTAATTATCTGGCTTAGGATTCTTTGGGGAGTGGATTTTACTCATGGAGCTACATTCCTCTGCAAACCTCCAAAGGCAGCCTAAGACCCACACGCGCGTGCAGAAGGCAGCTCTGCCATGTGCTAGTCCCTGCAGGTCACACCTGGCCAGTCTCTGCTGCAGGCCAGGTTCCTCCGAGAGGCGCTTCTGAGAGGGCCCATCTGACCTACTCCCCTGGGTTAGGATTCTGACTTGTCCCCTGACAGGGTCTTCAGACCATAGCACTTCTGTGCCCCTCCAGGCAAGGCAATGAACATTAAGCCATTTTTAAGATGGCAGTCCCCCCATACCCGACTCCTAAGCAACCCAAGAGAAATTACCCCTCGCTTCTTAATGGCTTTATCCAGCAGCTTGACCACATCCGACCCTTCCACGCCACTGGCTTTGAACCGCTTTGTCCATGTGATCAGTATAGCCTGTGGGAAAGAGTGGAGAAGTGGACTGAGGGCAGGGGGCCTTGGAACCCCAAGGCCTTGAGGGCTACTTCAAGCAGACAGCCTCAGTGACAAATAGCCTCTACCTCGTCACAATACAGATTAGAGCCAGATCTAGGCACCACCCCCATCTATCCACTTAATGGGTTTCTCTGAGGAAACTTTAAAAAAATGATTTAGTGATTTTTACTTTACGTACATTGGTAGTTTTACCTGCAGTCATGTCTGTGAGAGGGTATGCAGGAACCAGAGTTACAGACAGTTGTGAGCTGTCATGTGGGTGCTGAGAATTGAACCAGGGTCCTCTGGAAGAGCAGCCAGTGCTCTTAACCACTAAATCATCTCTCTAGCCCTTGAGGGAAATGTGAAGGAGAAAAACACAGGGTCATACTCCCCAGCTTGTATTGGGTTAAAGCAAGTGGCAAGCCAGGACCAAGAGTGCTCCTGGAAGGCAAGGCTGGGTGGACGCCAGCTCTGTAGCCAGGCCCCATTCAGGAAGAGCTGGAGAGATGGCTCAGCACCTAAGAGCACCTACTGCTCTTGAAGAGGACCTGTGTTCAGCTCTGTGCTCATACGAAATGAATATTGAGAGGGGACACAAGGAAAGCACTGGGCCTGCCAGATGGCTCAGTGGGGAGAGGTTCTTGCAGCTAACCCTGGTGAGCTGAGACAACCAACTCCCATTAAGTGTCCTCTTATCTTTACAAGTATGTGGCACAAGTGTGTGCCCCCCCTCCACACCTAACACCTGACTGATCACCTCCCCGACTTTCCAGCCAGGCCTCAGCCTCCAAGCTACGACCAGATGGGAAAGAGAAATAACAGGCTAAGAGAATTCTTGCCAGGGCTGTGGGGCTGAAGGGATCGTGTTGGCTAACGGGGCCCACGCCTTTTCGGACCTTACGTTCCCATCTGTGAAGGAACCCACCATCCGAGGGCGCCCACTGTTCACAGGAGTAGGAGCCCATCTCTGTTTGCACGTTCATGGTGCAACATCAAGCAGGAGAGACACTGACAAGGTAAAGTTCCCAGGGGCGTGTGGCAGTTGGGACTCAGCTTTTGCATTATACTTTGTATTATTTCAATGATTTTTTTACACAAGACCTTTAAAAAACATATAATAAAACTGTTCTACTCGGCTTGCTCTTTTCTCAGTGGGGAAGGCTGCTATCGAGGTTGGGGATGATGACTGCCAGGTCAATACAAGGAAGGGGGCCTTGGCCTCACACCAAGCCGTGCAGACGTTGGGCTGCTCAGGAGTGGGTGAATCCTGCCTGGTTGGGTTTGTGCTCCTTCACTCTGGAGCTCTGACTAAGCCAAACAAACACGCATAGTATCATGGGGAGAATATGGGCTGGGGTGTCACCTCATTCCTCTGAGGACCACTTTGTACACTGAGAATGAGGGTGCTGGTTTAGATTTGGGCAATGGAGGGCCCAGCCTTGAACCCTTCCCCGGTGAGGGTCAGGACTGGTAGGTAAGCCACACTTTTGGCTTCTCCTCCGCCCATAGAGCCCCACCCCCACATTTGTTCCATCCTGCAGGCTCCTGTCCCTATGAGGATGTGCCTCCTGCCACACTTTCCTTCAAAGACTGCTTTCTGGAGGCCAGGCTGTATCTCTCAGGGCCTGGCCTGCTGCCTATTAAACACTTAGTCGTCATATTGGTCAATTAGTGGCCATTTTGGTTATCAGATCAACTGCCAAGTCTCGAAGGGTAATTGACTTTTTGAGACACAGCCTCATGTGACCCACTTTGGCTCTGAACTTATTTTACAGCTGAGAATGAACTTGAGCTTCTGACCCCCCTCTCTCCATCCCATCCCCCAGGGCTGGGTTATAGCTATGTGGGTCTTACAGGCATACACCATCATACCTGGTTTATGTAAGGCTGGGGGGATCAGACCAGGGTTTCATGCATGTTTAATTTGTACTGAGCACTGAACTAAACCCAGCAATTTGGTATTCTGAGAACATATCTTTACATAACTCTTATTATAGTAAACAGAAACGTTCCATTACTAGCTATGGTTATTAATCTTTTAATGTGCTTAATGTACAAACTAAACTTTATCAGAGGTGTGAATGTATAAGAAAGAACATAGACATACATAGTTCGGCATGATCTATAGTTTTAGGTATCTCCTGGGGACTTGGGACCTTCTTCCTACAATGACCAGGCTTTGAGGAAGAGCTCAGAGAGCTACTCTAGGGATCCAAATGATCTGAACACCTTGAAGGTACTGAACTTCCAGAAATCTTGGTGTCTAGATGGGACTACCCAAGTTCCAGATGGAGAAAATCTGGCACAGGAACATCTTAGAGGGACTCAAGAAAGGGGACACACAATGCAAAGGAAGAGGTTCCCTGCTCTAGGTCCTGTCATGAAGAGTCTCTGTCATCCCATGGAGGCCTGTGCTCCCTATCCTAAAATAAGGAGCATGACCTACTGGGCTCTCCAAACCATTCCTGACGATTCTGTGAGTCAAACGTGTGCAACTGCCAGCATCAGGAGAAGCAGCCAGCAGGCAGCATGGAACCTATCAACAAAGGTACCGCCTACAAGTGCGCAAGACACCGGTGCCCAAGTACTGCAGTAAAGCCCCGTGATAAACATGCTCGGCTGTCTCCTGGGCTGCAGGTGAGCCTCAGTTTCCCCATCCGCATGTGGACGGAGAAAAGCACTTAACTCTCCGAGTATCGGGTTATGTTTTGGCTGTGAGGTGCACATGAAAACACAGCCTGGGCCCTCGGCGTGAACTGTTAGGAGTTCCTGGGGTTTGTTTATGCACAGATATGTGTGTGTGTGTGTGTGTGTGCACATGTGAGAATGTGTGTGTGTGTGAGAGGAGGTTGTTCTATCTCTCCACACAGAACAGGAAAAGTCTACATCTACTTTTCCACAGCTTTGCAGCTCTCAAAGGCAGAGGTTTACCACATGGTAGAGCTGAGTGCTCCCTTGACAAACAGACACATGAATGAACAAGCGACAAATAAGAAAGATTGTGTGAGGGCTGGAGAGGTGGCGCAGAGGGTAAGAGCCCTGACTGCTCTTCCAGAGGTCCTGAGTTTGATTCCTAGTAACCACATGGTGGCTCACAACCATCTATAATACGATCTGGTGCCCTCTCCTGCCATGCTGGTGTACATGCAGGCAGAATACTGTATACATAATAGATAAATAAACTTTAAAAAAAAAAAAAAAGAAAGAAAAGAAAGATTGTGTGACAAGTCAGTCACCTGGTGAGCCCACCTAAGAAGCCTAAGGCTTCCTCTGAGGCGGAGGACAGCCTGATTCCTGAGGCACAGTACCTGCTTCCAGGTGAACACCACCTCAACCCCAATGAAGAATTTCCCCACTCCTCTCCATAGCCATGAAGCCTTGTCCACCTTCTTTGATTTGCTCACTTATAAGAGCCTCATCAATGGCCACTTCTACCTCGTGGCTATCATAATTGGTCTCTAAAAATACACCATGAACTAAAGTAATTGAAAAAAGAAACAGGCTAGGGATACGGCTCAGCCAGTAGAGCGCTGCCCAGCATGCACTGGGTTCTGGGTTCGAGTCCTAGGACCACAGAAACCCCAGGCATGATGGTGCACATCTGTGATCCTAGTAGTACTGTAAAGGTCAAGATAGGAGGAGCATGAGTTCCAAGTTGCCCTAGGCTACCACCCAGAGGGCAGCCTGGGATACATTGGATCCTACCTCAGAAGAGGTCTGGGGTTAGGGGTGGTAGATGAATGAAGGAGAAGAAACATGGCACCACAGCCTAATGTTAATTTTGGCAAATGATTCCAAAACTAAGAGACATGGGAGTCACCCATAAGCAAAGGGAACTGAGAGCACGTGACTGCCACATTGCGAACCCCAAAGCACCCTTACCTCGTCTATTTTGGATTGCCGGCAGGGGAAAGAAAACGTGAATCCCACGGGTAAATTTTTGTCCTTGATCTTCCTTTTTTCCATGAAGTCTCCCAGGCATTCAGCAACATGATCGAAAAGCTACAGAGAACAGAGGAGAGATGTCAGGTTGGGGTGGTGGGGAGGGAACAGGACTCTGTTTCAGATCATGCTGTGCACAGGTCTCACAGAATACCTCCAGCCCTCCAAAGAAACTGGCCCCTCAGAGGTCATGACACTGGTCATCCCGGCACTGAAGGCAATTTAGAAACACAGAGAATGAGCAGAGAGTCTTCCATGACACAGTGGACAAAGGTTTCCATCAGCTGTTCAGGAGTCAACAGGCAGAGCAGAGTGAGCAGTCAACAGTGAGCAGAGTGACCTCCCCAAGCTGACCCAGTAAATCCTAGGAAATACTCAGGCAGCTCCATGGCTGAACAACCAGCAAAGCATTGTGCTTTTTTGCTTTACCTACTGAAGGAAAGATGAACCCCCTACAATGCACAAATTCTAAGTGTGGAGGACACAAGCCTCCCACCAGCGGCACCTGCCAATATCCACATCAAGAAATACCAAAGTATGGCTCAGTGGTACAGCACTGATCCCAAGGATCAACTCCCCCCACCAAAAAAAAAAAATTAACACTATCAAAACCCACACGACAGCTAGACATGGTAGCTCAGGTCTAGAATTCCGGCACTTAGGAATCTTAGGCAGGAGGACTTGCCTTGAGTTCAAGGCCAAGCTGGGCTATGGAGTGAAGCGTCTTAAACATTAACAATAAAAAAACAGGTGCCACCTTAATGGATCTGTGGTCACTCCTGCTACCCCGAGTTCTAACACGTGTGTAAATGGAAATGGGGCTGGGGAGCGCTCTGCTGTCTTTGTGCTGAGTCACCCACATAGCTTTAAGGACTGTGTTCCTCACTGTACTTCTTACTGCAGGAATAGGCCATGCTATGAATATCCCAGTGTCCATCCGGCACCCCCACGCAAGCTTGCTTGCTCTGACTCATTAGGTCTATACACACTGCAGGACTCCACCAGAAAGAACCCAGAAGCCTGCCAGTAGCATGCCTTTGGGAACACAGCCACAGAGCTCCTTACAGTCCAGAAGAGGATGGTGTCAAGGTGCCAAACCTTAGTCACCTTGAGCCAGCTTTAGAGGGGACCTGACTCACTGCTGGGGCTGGGGGACACCCAGTCTACTCCAACTTCGGAGCCTCAATCCTGAGTCACTATTACTCAGGCTACGCCGCAGCAGTCTCTCTGACTGAAGAGACACGTGACCACCCTCCCTGGAGAAAACAAGCTAAGCTTCCTGTGACCTACTTCAGCCTGATACAAACCTGTTACTAAGTCAGCCCTTGAGCCCTACGCCATCTGCACCTGGGGCTCCAGACGCTCCTGCTGTAAGTGAGCAGAAGGAAGGAAGAATGGCTGCACAGGAGGGACAGGGTGTGGGGCCTGAAATGGCTGGCTGCAGCAGCAGGGCCACGAGGTGCCCACAGATAGGCAAATGCATCTCCTCACGGCGGCTGTGCAGGCCAAGCTGCACACCTACGACCATAGCCCTCCGGGGAAGATCCAGGCTCCCAGGCTGCGGGAGGAGGGTCCAGGGCCTCAGGCCAGCCTGGGCTACAGTGAGTTCCAGGCCAGCCTAGGCATCTTAGAGAGGCCCCGAGTTCTAACATAAAAAGCAGGAAGTAAGCCTGGATGTAGCTTAACGACGGAGCACTTGTCTAGCATCTCCAAGGCCCTGGATTCAATCCCCTGTACCACAAAATAAATGAGTGAATAACTAGACCCTCATCACCTGCCTGACAACATGCACATTATTTTTAAAACACACAGACACTAGACACTCGTGCTTATAACCTCACAATCAGGAGGCAGAGTCAGGATCAAGAGTTTGAGGCCAGTCTGGACCAAGTTCCAGGCCAATGTGAGCTAAAATAGTAAGTAGCAAATGAAACAGCTTAGGGCCAGTGAGATGGCTCAGCAGGTCGGTGCCTCCCAGTGATCCTGACACTTGGAACCCACACAGTGGAAGGCAAGACCCAACTCTCACAAGTTGTCCTCTGGCCTCCACACATGCACACTGTGGCATGTGTGTGCCTACACGCAAACACGCAAACACACACACACACACACACACACACACCGCAAAGGAAAATAACTTTTTCACGCGTTGGGGGATGGCTCAGTTGGTGCGGGCATGGGGGCCTGCGTCTGGAGCCCCACAATGTGTCTGAACAGCCAGCTGAGGAGGCATCCTGCGCCCTGGTGCTATGGGTCTGGGGGGAGAGAAGAGACAGGAGCAGCTTCCAGGCCGACAGTCGGTGAACTTCAGGTTCAGTGACAGATCTGTCTCAAACTAGTAACATGGAGAGTGTTGGGAAAGATTGCCGACATCAACCTCTTCCCTCTACAGGTGAGCGCTCACACACGGGAATGAGCAGCCACGCAGCTTGTGCAATACACATCACACACATACACACATACTCACACACACGTGCATGTACTCACACACACACAAATAGACTCAATCCCTCAAACTGACTAATGGGGTAAATAATGGCAAAAAAAAATACTCTAAGTAATATTCAAAATTCTCAAAACTATTTAAGTAATGTTTTAGTGTGTGTGTGTGTATGTGTGTGTGTGTGTGTGTGTGTGTGTACATAACACGTACATGTGTTGATGTGTGTGTCCCAGTGCTCAAGAATGAGGCTGGAGGAAAATGTCCAGTGTCCTGCTCTGTCACTTTCTGCTCTACTCCCTTGAGACAAGGCTTCTCATTGAACTTGGAGCTGGGCTGGTGACCAGCAAGCTCAGCTCATCTTCCTGTCTCCGTTATTGGGGTTTCAGCCATGTGGGCAGCCACACCTCACTTTTTACGAGTGCTGGGATCCGAACACAGGTCCTCACGTTTGCTGAGCTATCTCCCAAGTCACTTAAGTCATGTTTTAGCAATGTTGTATGTAGCTTCTGGAATCAAAGCTTAAAGCTGTAGAAGGCTTTGGAGATACCGTGTAGGGGAGAGGAGAGAAAGGCAGATGAAGGGGGGGACCCTGCAGAGTGAACACAGCATGTACTCATCTCTAAGAAGGTGAGAATCCTACAACACTCAGAGCCTTGAGACTTCACTGTTCACAGCCTGTGAGTCTGGGCAAGCTCCAGGGGTAACGTGAGGATTGGGTCGCCACAGAGCTCCACCGAGAGCCCCACAAGAGATCTCAGCGGAGGGCCATTCCATATCAGCCGACCTGCTAACTCCAGAGTGCTGCAGGAGGCAGTCTGGCTTCAGCCCTCCATCTTCCCTCCCTGCTCCCCTCACACCCTGACCTGAGATCTTGTCCATAACCACATCTTCTCATCATTACAGGGGCCTGGAGAAAGGCTCAGAGCTTAACAACACTTGCTGCTCTTCCAGAGGACCCACATTCAGTTGGTAGCACCCATAACAATCAGGAGGCTCACAACACCGTCACCCCAATTCCTGAGGCCCCAGTGCCTTTTTCCCTGGCTTCTTAGGACACCTACACACAAGCAGCACACACTCACACACATACTACACGTATACACATTTAAAATTTTTGCTGGATGTACTAACACACGCCTTTAATCTCAGTACTGGGAGGCAGAGGCAAGAGGATCTCTATGAATCTGACAGGCTCAGCCTCGTTTACAAAGTGAATTCCAGGACAGCAGGACAGCCAGAGATACATAGTGAAACCTTGTTTCAAAATAAAATAAGTAACAGGGAAAAAAAAAAAGGCCTAGTAGCTGAAACTGTCATTTCTAGTGTGAGACCACCTCAGAGATCTCACGATCTGTACAGCTACTAAGGGGCTGGGCAAGGCCTTTCCCCTGTATAAGATGACCACAATAACAGCCACTCCACAGGGCTGTCATGGTGATTACATGAATCACTAACTAGAAAGCATTTATACATCATCTATTTGCACATAGGCATCACCACCATCGTGGTCTTTTTAGACGGTTTAGAGGGGGCAAAGAACATACAGCCAGAAGCAAAATGATCCTGGGAATAAGCAGAGTACTTGGGGGGGGGGGGGGCTGAGAAAGTGTACCCTGGGTTGGAGGCATCCCCTAAACAAGTCCTGCTCCTAAAAGGCCAGGCCAAGGCACAAGGCACATGTTTACACACTGGTAGTGTCAGCAGTGGCTCAACCCAAGGACCAGGAGGAATGGTGATAAGCCAGTACTTGTTACGTGAACAGGGCCTACCAAGCTGGCCGCTGGCCATCTTCAGAAAGAAGCCACGAAGTGGGCAATGGGGACACAGGTAGCAGACCTCCCTCCCGCAAGCCACAGCCTGGGGGTGAAAGGGCCAGACACCCACTGATAGAGGCCGGACCACCTGACTGGTGGCTCACCTGCCTCTGGCTAGTCGGAAGGTGGCTCTGCCACTCCAGACACAGGGTGCTTCCTTCCATGCTCACTGTGATATGCTCAGGAAATCCCTGAATCCAAGGAGCACAGTTCAAGGACAGGATTAGCTCTTACCTAGGTGGGTAGCTCCAACTCTCTCCACAAAAACTTAGGCACCAGGTAGGATCCTACAGAGAAGGCCTCTGGGCCTCACCTCACAGTCCAAGCGGGAACCACTGCTTTCTCTGGAGAATACAAGGAACCTCGCCATGAACAAACACCTTCCCCAGCAGAAATCTGGCAAGCTGTCAAGAGTATGAAGACCAGGGCCCCCGAGTGGAGTATGGGTGGGCACACAAGTGGGGTGTCTATCCGTAAGAGTAATGGAGTACCCCCATGTGATAGGTGCAGGGGACCTGGAAATAAAAACCTTAGTTCCAGATCCTGGGGAGATAGGGACACACATCACAAAATAGGTCCTCTCCTGGTAGGCCCAGGAAGGGCCTTGTCCGGGAAGGATGACCCTGCTCAAGGGCTGGGAGCATGACGAGGGACAGCCATTTCCAAAGTGAAGTCTGCAGTCTTTGCTTGCTGTGCCAAGGGCATGTGCACACCCTAATATCATCAGAGCTCCGAAGCTCAGAGCTGCTCCACAGGGCCCGGCCTCCGGTGAGTGAGAGAAGAAGCCGGTGGCCTGACACGAGGGTCATCCCTACCCACAGGGTGGGCTAAACCTGTGCCAAGGCTGCAACCGAGGATGCTCTGAGAACATAGGCACTTGAGACAATGTGGGCCTCCCTCCCCACAGCCTGCGGCCGCTAATGCACCACCAGTTTACAAGATGGTGTACGCCTCTTCAGGCACAGCCCCGCCCCAAACAGCTGCCTCATTCCTCCCCTGACAATCCTTTACAACAGACACTTTGATGACACACCTCCAGTGAGTCCTGCCAGGGCCCAGGACATCAGCTTTCAGAAGTCTGGCCTCTGCAGGTACTGCCTTGATGGAACAGAACGAGCAGAACAAGGACCCACCTGGCTTCCACTGCCATGTACGATGTTCTCTGGAGTGTCATAAACCTCAGACTCCATGTAGACATTCTGGTTCTTCTCATGATTCACCTGCACCCGCAGGATTCGAAAGAAAGAGCCTCCAAGATCCAGGGCAATGAAATCCCCCTTTTCTGATAAGGGAGAAAACAGGTGTCTTGTCAGATTCAAGTGTGAGAGGAGGTGCCCACTCCCAGATCTGACCCTATCTGACTCTCCGTACAGCACCTTAGGCAAAAAGAATGCTCATGTTGCCTGGCCCTGCTGGAGCTCCACCCGGCCTTCTGCATTGCTACCGGTAAACAAAGATCACACCACACTGGCTTTTTTATTTTGTTGAGACAGGGTCCCACATAGCCCAGGTTAGCCTCCACATCACTATGTAGCCAGAAGACGGCCTCGCCTCGGTCTCCCGATCCTCCTGCCTGAGCTTCCCCCAATTTCGGGGATTAAAGGTATGTGTTGCCACACCCAGCAGTGTTTCAGGACAGGAAAAGCCTGTGGTTCCTTCCACGTCGGCTCAGTTGCCAGTCACTGCTTACCCAAACCTCCAGCTACTCCTTGTATTATTTATTGTTCTGGCAAGATGGACAAAATGTGAAACCTAGCACTAGGACTGTTTTTTGGAACGCATAGCTCAGAGACACTACCGACGTTTGCAGTGGTTTGCAGTTATCATCACTGTTTCTAAAACTTTCCTATCACCCCAACACAGTAACCCTTAAGCTGTAATTCCTCAACCCCACCTACCCCTAGCAACCTCCACTTTACTCTCAAAGTTCTAGACATTTCATATAAGTGGGATCGGGCATAAATTGTCTATTTGTGACTGGCAGCTTTTACTTAGCGTGATGTCTCCATGTTGCGGCCTGTGTCACCAGGCGAGGAGTGACAGGCACTAAGTCCCTAAGTCCCAGTAGCCTTCATCCCCATGACTGTTAAGAGCAGACTGGTAGCACCTCATCTACCCTGAGAAGGATTACACACACAACAAACCACTCATTCATTCAAAGTGTGTGTGTCGTTCAAGACAAGTATGGTGGTACTTGCCTGTGATCCCAGGACTTGGGCTAAGACAAAAGAATTAAGAGTTTGAGGCTAACCTGGGCTACAGTAAAAACATGTCTCAAGGGGGAGTGGTGGAATAATACCTAATTTTTTTTTCAAATTATATTTTAATTAGAAATGGGGATGTAGCTCAGTGGGAAAGTACTTGTCCAGCATATGGGAGGACCTGGGGTTGATCCATAGCACCACAAACAATAAATAAATAAATGGAATATTAAAACTTTTCTGGGTGTATCACATAAATGGTCCCCCTTGTGAGTTGGTTTTTTTTTCAGTTGATCAGCATTTCATTATTTTTGTGGTTAACACTATCCCTGTCAGCACATCCTATGTTTTACTCATCCCTTCATTTACTGATGGACACGGGCTGTCTCCACTCTGGGCTAGGACGATTAACCCTGCTAGGCCTCTGGTGTAGTGACAATTTTGATTTCAATGTTATGTGACTATGTTTTTGTTTTAATCCCAGGTGTGGAGTATGGGGCTGCTTCATACCACACTGCTTGTCCACAGCGGTTGACTATGATTTGTCTCATGCTACGGCAAGGGCATGCTTCTGACAGATGAGGATAATTTGTTTGGAATTCTGGGGACTCTTCAGAGGCTAGATAAATGCCCGAGCCCCAAGAGAGGGGTGGTTGCTGCTGCCTCTGCTGCTGCTCCTTGTTGCTTGCTTGCTTGCTGTTTGCTGGTTTGCTGGTTGGCGATATCCTGAGACAACAAACTTGCCCCAAGGAATCAGATGCCCCTAACCAGCAGAAAGCAGTCTAAGGAGATGGACACCCCCTTTCTCGTTAACCCTCTTTCTCTCCTACCTAGTGTTCGGAATTAGAAGGGTGGAATATGGTTGGAAGGGTGATAGGAAGAACGACCCAACAAAGCAGCCAAGCAGTGTGCCGGTCACACACTGGCACACAGGCTTGTGTATGGACAAAGCACCTTCATTTCTCTCAAGTGTACTCAGGAGTCAGAAATGCCACTACCTGACAAAGAGACAGAACCACTTTCTGTTCTTATTGTGACGGATGAAGCCTCTAGTTTGTCCATATCTCCATTACCACATGTGTGATATCATTTTTCACTGTCACTGACATCTGATGAATGCTGCATGTGAGAATACCGCCCACCTTACCACTCACCCATGTCTGTTTCAGAGTTCCCAACCCTTGCCAGCAGGAACACTGGGCGAGTCTTTAAAATGTTAGATATGTGCGGACCAGGCAGATGGCTCAGTGAGCAAAACACTAGTGACCCAGGCCTGACAATCCTGACAATCCTGATTCCCCAAACCAACATAAAATGCCAGATGCAGTGTAATACTCCTCCTTCGGCAAGGTGGGAGGCAGAGATGGGAGAATAGGCTGGAAGCCTGTGGGCCAGTCAGCCTGGAGTATACAGGGCAGCAAAGAAGACAAGAGAGATGGTCTCAACAAGGTAGAAGGATCAAAAAGAAGTTGTCCTCTGACCTCCACAAGCATGCTATGCATTAATTATTAATTAATTGATTGATTGATTGATTGATTGATATAAGGCCAGGATGCAGCTGAACAGTGGAACACTTGCTTAGCCTGCCTGAGGGGTGTTACTGTTGCTGTTACTGTTCTAGTGCTATGAAGAGACACCATGACTAAGGCAGCTCTTATAAAAGAAAGCATTTAATTGGGACTCACAGTTTTAAAGGGTTAGTCATCAGGGCAAGAAGCAGATAGGCACAACACTGGAGCAGTAGCTGAGAATTTTATATCTGATCCGTACGCCGGAAGAAAGTGAGAGAGGACTGGGCCTATTGTGGGCTTTTCAAATGTCAAAGCCCACCCCCAGGGACACACCTCCTCCCACGAGGCCACACCTCCTAATCCTTTCTAAACAGTTCCTCCAGCTGGGGACTAAGCATTCAAACATATGATCCTATGGGGACCATTCTCTTTCACATCAGCACATAAATTCAGTCCCCAACACAAGGAAGGAAGAAGGAAGAAGGAAGAAGGAAGAAGGAAGAAGGAAGAAGGAAGGAAGGAAGGAAGGAAGGAAGGAAGGAAGGGCTAGGTGAACTCAATAAAATGCTTGCTAGGTAAGGACCTAGTTCAATCCCCAGAAGCCATGTGAAAAAAGCCAGGTGCAGTAGTAAACACCTGTAATCCAGCACTGGGGCCAAAGACGTGGATCCCGGGTTCTTAATGGCCAGCTAGCTCAGCTTACACATTACATCCCAAACCAATGAAATACCCTATGGCAGAAAATAAGCCGGACAGCACCTGAAGAATGACCGCTGAGGTTGACCTCTGTCTTCCACACATGCGTGGACACTCTCCTACATGCACTCACACGTATGCTCAGGATAACAATAACTACAGGGCTGCTGAGATGCAAGCCTGAAGATCTGAGTTCAAAGCCTGGACCCCCTCCCAAAGTTGGGAGGAGAGAACCGGCTGCACAAGATTGTCCTCTGAGCTCCACACATGCACCACAGCATATGGATACCTCCATAAACACACCATACTGCCCCAATATTAAGAAATGAAATGAACTTAAGTTATAAATTTAGTAACAGTAAAGAAAGTACTAGCATCTTTAATTTTTCACCTTTCTTCTGTGGTGCCAGGCGTTGGATCCTTGGCTTTACATTTTCATAAAGTGCCACTTACTTCTGGTTTTGCTGTTTGGTTTTGTGTGGTATATAAGAATCCAACCGCCAAATGCAAGGTCACAGAGGGTCACACCTATTTTTCTTTTAGGAGTTTCGTGGCGCCAGCCCTTACACGTAGGTCTTTGATCTACTTGGAGTTAATGTTTTGTATAGGATACAAGGTAAGGATACAACTTGATTCTTTGTGGACACTCAGTGTGCTGGCATCGCTGGTTCAAGAGACTCTTTTTCCTCACTGAATAGCCTTAGCACCCCTGCCAAAAATCAACTGACCATGAAAGTGTGTCTCTGTTTCCCTGTATATTTCATTTGTTTTGGGTTTTACTTTGTTTTGTTTTGAAACAGGGTCTAATTGTGTAACCCTGGCTGGCCCAGAACTCTCTATGCAGACCAAGCTGCCCTTAAACTCAGAGATCCACCTGCCTTTGCCACCTGGGTGCTGGTATTAAATCCACACACCATCATATCCAGCTTTATTTTTATTTTTGAAGACATTTTTCTTTCCCACCAAAATATAATATTCTCTTTTATACCGTGGATATACACTTATGTTTACTGCATTATAAGCTTTCACAATTAGGAAAATTTTTAGTTGCCAACTGAGTCTCATGTTCAACTAAATAAAAGAAAGTAGGTTTCTTATCACTGAAGCGCCAATGGTGCCTGAGAAGTCAGGCACCCTGGGCTGGCCCATCCCACCCTGTCCTGCATAGCCTTTGAAATAGGCCCCGGCCAGCAAAATTCCAGCAAGGCCAGAAAGTTCAGGTAAGAGCAGAAAGGATGGCCATGAAATAGCCAGGACAGAGTTAAAAAACAATCTGGATGACAGTGAGGGTGACGGTGATAGATTTGAGAGGCACCTCACAGGTGGCTGCTGAGAGCCAAGGGGCCCCTCTTGAAGCAGGATCCTCCCTAACTATGGTGTCCTTTGGCTCCATGTGAAGTGTGTTCTGTGATTGCTGAGAAAAAAAAAAAAAGAAAGAAAGAAACGGTTGCCACACCTATTTGCCACAGCTCAGGGAATGCTGGAAAACTATTAACTCCATGCCACAACTTATTGAGAAGGAAGCCCCAAGCAAAGGCTCCTGCCCCGCCAGTGGCCAGGGGGCCCTCCCTTCTCACATACTTCATGCTCATTGGTTTTTGTTTGTCTGTTTTTGTTGCTGTTGTTTCAACGTCTGCGGGTTTTATGTTCTTCAGCTGCGTAAATGATACGCAAGTTGGAACCAGGGCAGTTTCACTTGCTGCCCTATGCAGCAGAGTCCGCAGACAGCAGACAGTCTGAGTGTCTGAGCTGGCTCAGCAGGAGCTGCCTAGGTCACTCACAAGGACTGTTTGCGTTGATATTCTGCCAGGCCAGGGACAAAGACAAATGACTTCAGGTAAGTGCCACAGGGCTTCTGGTAAGCTCTGCTGGAT